CAAAATCGCGAAGCTCGTCGAGTGACCAGCAGTCCCCATAGACTCTAAATCCTAACCCCTGAATCCCTTTTAAATCCTAAACCTATAACATGCAGGACTAAGAATCAAAAGCAAATTAAATACTACCATCGTCATTTATTCGATAGTGAGCATTAAAATTCAAAATGAATCATCAATTTCATCAGGTGACGAATCGAAGGGCAGCCTCAGCAAGTTCAAGGAGTGTCCGATTGAAGATAGAAGCCGCAGAATCTGGGAAGCAAAAGAGCTCTGTAGTCCTGATTTTATTGATGACGCATTCACACAGATTCCTTGAGAAACCCAGATACAGAAATTTGAAAATGGAAGCATAATAAGAAGAAGAAAGCCATGATTATAGTTGGATTTGGTTCGCTGTCCATCCAAAATGTTGTATCCCGCAAATGGTGCTTGCACTGTGGGGTTCTGACGTGGAGGGGCTATAGAATAAGATCGCCGTGACACCTTGGTGCCCGTGGACGCAGCCGTAGTCGCGCGTTCGTTGCTTTGGGGGCTTCATGGGCGCAAAATGCAGATCAGTCGTCACATTCCTAGCTTTGTTGTCGTATCGTCGTTTTCGCAACATGCAGATTTGTCCCGCTCTCGGACTCGTGTTGTTGCAAAATGCGGATTTGACGACGGAGTCGTCGCTTTTCGAGCCTCGTTTGCGAAACGCAGAGCGGTCGCCGCTATTGGAGCCTCTTCGCAAGATGCACAATGAAGATCTAGAAAATGTCGTGGCTTTTGAACTCGTTGGCTCGTGAATTGCAAAGGTGTCGTCACTTCTGAACTCCAAGCCAAGCACTGGTTGACACACTCAACCAATGCTGGCGTATAATAAGAAAGATTTCCACCACGGCCATTGCTGCTAACGACAGCTAGTCGTACGTAAGCAAAGGCATGAATTTCTAAGCCCACAGCTTCAAGAGGCCTCGGTACTGCAAAAGCCGAGCTTTGGAGCTCCACCTGGACTTATTTCGGATGCTCAATTTGCACTACAAATCCAATTAAGGTCTTACAGAGACCCGAGCTCCAAGAAAGCTCGCAGACGCATTTCGTTCTAGACATGACTACAAGAGCTCAGGCTTCAAAACCCAAGGCCTCGGGGACCCGTGTCGCGCAAACTTCACTTTCGAGGTTCCTTGTGGACATGATCTCGATATATGCAAAGAGTACTGATGTGCGTCCACCACTGTTTGGGGTTGACGTCGGAATCATGAATCCCTATAGGAACCATACCATCCCAACCAAAGGAGATCTGCAATTGCATAAAATCTGAAAGAGAGCAATCAGCAAAGAAATTACGCAGATCCGTAACTTGATGGTCTTCTGTTCGGCAGTTGTCTTCCTTCAAAAGCAGTCTACCAGTATTTCAGGCGGTCTTTTCATTACTCATACGCGCGGAAGGATTGCCTTTGTCGCAGTGTGCATGTGAACTAGCTTGCGTTCCTGTGGGTGGCAACCAGACTTCCCTGACAAGTCCCTGACACAACTTGCATGAAGGTGCAGATCACCGGTGGCCGGGATGTTGAGGCATCAGCACAGGTCGAAGTTGGGGGGCGCAAGGTGCGCCCATGTCAATCGCACAGTGCCCACACTACCCAAAAGCAAGAGGAGTTGCTTTTTCTCGCACAGGCCTTGTTGTCAAGTCGTCCAGAAACCAGTGAAACTGCTGGCAGACAGATTCTGTAGCTCCATTTTTAAGTTGAAAAGTGCTGCTGTGTCAACTGCTTTGCATCGCATCTTGACGAATTCGACGTCCAGGTCAGCTGCTGCTAGTTAAGTCTGCAGGAGACGCTGACCTACAAGGCTGAGCTGATGCCTCTCAGCGCGGCACGCATGAGTGAAGAGGCTTGAGACATGCACGGCCTTGCGAGGTAGGTCAGCTTAATGAAGATCTTGCTGTTGTCATGCAGCGGTGAGACATTGCTGTGACCGCCTCCACTTTGATTCTAGTTTTCGCAGGTCGTGGCCTTGAAGCTGCCGGATCCAATCGGCAATCAGGACCGAATAGGCAGATCGGCGAGCAGATTGCGCTTGTCCTCGAGCCTCGAGACCCACAGCAATAACGAAGCCTTCCATGAATGCCATATAAATCTGAAAGCACCTGAAAGCATCCTTGGAAACCTTCTCAATGCAAGGATCTCCCCTTGGAGTTGCGGCGGAGCATCCTCGTGACCTACTTGGACGAAGACCGGTGACATGGTGCCGGTTTGGATACTGTAGGGTCCTTCGTGTGTCAATTCCAAGCTTCGTGTTTTGACAACCACCACAGTCGTTGCAGTAATTGCCTGGCGGCAGCCCTGGCTTTCAAAGTCAGTGTTGGACCACAGGCACTTCATCAAAAGGCTTCGTGTTCACCGCCCACTGCACATGAGTAGGGTTTCTTGGGAGGATACCATGGTACCTATTATAGCGTAAGATTCTATCCTTCTGTTGGGGTATAGTTTTTTGATGTTTTTTGTCGGGCATATAATCTTACTAGGTTTAACCACCAAAAAAACACTACACACATGGATTTGTGTAATAACCCGCCTGCCTCCTCACAATTTAGTCGTGCCTCAACCTTGGTTCAGAGAACGTGCTGGGATCTCAAAAACGATAGGAAAAAACGATGACATGGATGTTGGCATGAGCTAGTCTGCCATGTCATAGGTCATTGGAGGCTCACATGGAAAGCTTCTACTCTAATCTAGTATACTTTACTATAACCTACCATAACCTCTATAACATGGGCTACCTACACTTGATTTTTCCTGACAACGCACGCCGGGAGAGCGATACTTGCTAGGCAACAGGGAACACATGTCATTGCTGGAATGGCAATGACTCGGGAGTTGAGGTCTCAGGGCGGTGGGGAGTCAAACACACTGGATGTGAAGACTTTGCGGAGACGCTCCGGTCGAGTGTTGCGCAAATAGGCCGGCGTGTGACAAGTAGCTTGTCACGTGAA